TTCATATTGCCAATTTTTCTGATGATTGATCACTTTTACTGCTGATTGCAGATATCCTGATGAGGAAGCAGGGGAGATTCCAATGGCATATATCGTGAGAGTACCTGGAAGCAACATCACAGAAACTCAAATTATGGATATTATTTCAAAACAGGTATGCAAAATTATCATTTTATACCTTACATTAATGAAAACACGTTTGCTTTTAACGTATGTGGTAACACTTGGGTTCTCTCAGAACATTACATTTACCTCCTTGAGTTTACTTATACCAGATTGGTGTCATAGTTTACTTGACTACAAATTTGTTTCCACACTTGTGGATTTCCCATGTGGCCCTTTCAGTAGTATTTTGTAATATATACATAGTCTGTGGGGAAAAAGATCATGTCCATCCGGATTAGGGTTGTAAAAGAATCGAATCGAATAGTGAGTACAATTATTCGTATTCGTATAACTTGACGAATATTCGTATTCGTATTCGGATATTATTCGAATCTTAAAATAGATTCGTATTCGATTCGTTAGTGATATTCGAAGATATTTGTATTCGAAAATTCGAATTCGAATTTGAATATTTGTAGCGTTAAAAAAATCACATATTCGAATTACGATGTATTGTATGGATTTTTTCGGTTTTCACAAATATGTCTATTAAATGAACTATTTCAAAAAATCCGCTACTTCAAAAATCAAACGGAAACTCATTCAAATAAATAAACATTGTAAAATCAATTAATCAAAAAATCAATTACTTCAAAAAATAAATTAATGAATGCACAATTACAAATTGAATATATTCGAATAAGATACGAATCGAATACATGTATATTCGTATTCGTATTCGAATTTTATTCGAATACTAAAACCGATTCGTATTCGTATTCGTATTCGATTTTTTCGAATTCGAATCATCAATTTCGAATTCGAATCACGAACCGGATCAAAATTATTCGATTCGTTTACGACCCTAATCCGGATGGACAGGAGCCTCCGTCCGGTCGTCGCCTTTTGAAGCGGTTTCTGGTGGAATTTTTGGAGCATAAATTTCACCAAATTTCAGCTATAAATTCAATCGGGAAGGCAGTTAAATGTATTGTTGACGATAACTGCGCAGTTAAAAATTCAATCGGGAAGGCAGTATTTTTCAAAAAATCATTTGACTGCCTTCCCGGTTGATTGTTTAGCTAAAATTTGGTATGAGTAAACTAGACTTGATGAAGAACATGCTAAAAAATATTCTTCAAAAATTCCACCGGGAATCGCCCCAAATGGCGACGGCCGGACGGCGGGTCCTATCCCTACGGCTGGACAGGATCATTACTCAGTCTGTGGTAGTCTTTCTGGATGTACAAGACTCTAGTTTGTGATCTTAAAGATGCACTCACATATAATAAAATGACTTAGAAATGTCTTGTTTTTAAAGTAAAAATTTCCGTACAATTTTTTTCCAAAAATGCTTTTTGTACCAGCCCAATCTGGTCAAGTGCCCTGATTTTGTAGTGATGATAGTAAAACTCAACAACAAAATGTAGTTCACATAATACATGTCCTTTTGCTATTACAATTGCCACTGCCATTGAGTTTATTTTTGTAGCAAACAGATCAGATGTGATAAATTCATAAATTACATGTCCTTGAATTGGTTGCAGGTTGCACCTTACAAGAAGATCAGACGTGTCTCATTTATCAGATCTATTCCTAAATCTCAAGCCGGAAAGATCTTGAGAAGAGAATTGATTGCGCATGCTGTTTCTGCTGCTTCAGCCAAACTATGATCTATACAGCCCACATATTTTGACTTTGGGCATCTCTTTCACTCTGACTTTTTATTTATTTTCTCTTTCATGACGATTATTAGATTATGTGCTTGTGTTCAAAAGAAAAAAACAATTTTAATAAACAGGAGCACTTATTTGTTCTCATAATATCTGTGCCATGATTAAGGGCCAATATTTGTGCAGATTGTGGGAGTATCGATTAATTAGTTCATTATCCGTCATCTGATTATTTGGATTGTGATCGGTTGATGCATTGGTATGCGTCCAGCCCCCTTGTCAGATAGTAGTGTTTGAAATAGTATTGAAAGGTTTGAGATACAATTAAATTATATGGAGTTCTAGTAATTCCTAGATTAAGAAGCCTCGTGTTTGGTGATTCAGTTTTTTTAACACGTAATTTTTTATTACACGCTAAATCGTGTAATCATGAGAAAGTAAAGTTAAAGTTATTTGTTTGGTTATATTGACTGTTACTATAAAAGATCATTTTAACTATTTTTCATATATTTTTTTTTTCCTTAAAAAAATTAGATTCAACAAGTTCAATTGTTGTAATAGTCATCTCAGCAATTTCACTAGATTTAACTGATTTACTCTATTTTCACTAGTTTCATTAGACTTCGCAAACACTTAGGTCTTGTTCGGTTAATTGCTTATCAATCCTTTTTGATTGATTTGAAAATTTTAAGATTATTTGATTCAATGATCAGTTAAAATTAGTTTTGGTAAATCGATTGCTTCAATTAACTTATTTATGCACCTAGCTGTTTTGCTAAACAATGATGTTAGCGATGTTTGTCATTGGCTTTTGTCCGCAAGCCGCCCTTCGCCGTCGTTGAAGTTTGCTATAGATTGATCCATCACTAACGAGTAACGGACTGATCTTGGTTACACAAGGGAATTAGGGGGAATTAATTAGATTAATTAAGTAATTTAAGGGCAGTAATGGATAAATGGAATGAAAAGTCCCATATAAGGAAAACCAAATATATGATCCTATTTTTGAAAGAATGCAATATTTTGAAACCAAGAACAATTTACTCTATTTATTTTTAGTAATAATTTTCAACAATATTCAAGATGTCTTTGAGTTGGGGATTTATTCATACGTGTTATTGCATATGAATACTACTACGTAATATACTATAGGGGAGTCTATAGCTATCAAGTGTTTGGCTGTTTGCAAAAAAAAAAAAAAATGAATCGAAAACAAAGATCTAGTAAACTCTTAAATGACGCGTGTTATGTCCATTTCATAAGGTGACAAACGACAATAGTCAAAAGACGATTCATAAGGCGCCTGGCAACGTAACATTGGATCACGACTAATTTAATTACTTCAATAGCTATATTTGACCATTCATATACTCCGTAGTAAATTCTTTATAAGAAAAAAAATTAAAAAAATTGGATTTACTTCCGAAAATAAAGTGTTGGATTTAAAAATATTTTTCAAAAATTATTTTTTTAACACATTATTAAATAAAATGCTATCGAAGTAGAACATATGATTCGGTGAACGAAGATAGTATATTGAACGAAGATAGGTAAAATTGAACATGTTACATCTATTTAAGAACGAAGATAGTATATGGTTCGGTGAGTAACATTTTTTGAGAAAGGATCGGGTCTTGATGTCTTTGACGCGAAGAAATATTGTATGTTTGTTGGGATTTTTTTTATATTTATAGGAAAAATGGAGCAAAAAGGAGTATAAACAATAAATAAGGGTATAAACTACCGCGGTCTAGTCCTAGCCGCGTCTAGAGTTAGGATCACCTCCCTCGACAATTTCCGTAGAGGCTATGTCCGCTGTTTATTCGTTTAGTTGTCTTCCTCCAGCGAGTGGTTACGTTGCTCTGTTGAAAGAGTTGGTTTTGGCGTGGCAGATTACCATCTCGGCTGGCATTCAAGTTTGGATTCGGCCGCAAGGTTACGAGTTGTGCAACAAGGATTAATACGGTCATGCAAAAAGAATTGGCAAGAGCTACGAGCGATTAAGCCTTGACGATATGATGAAGAGGTGGAGATCATCCTCTGCAGGAACTGAATGAAAATGGTAACAAGGAGGGAGGTTTAACTTCGTGATCACTGGTTAGAACTATTATTATTGGCAAGGCGGTGAAGTTTAATTCACATTGTTCATGGAGGTCTTGGTTTTCATTTGGAGACCTAGCAAAGGTGTTTCCATTATGGAGATCGATAATAAATGTATTTGTTCTCTTTCTACCATGAAATGGATATGTTTATGAAAGATACAAAATTTTCAAAGTTTTGGGTTCAAGTACATAATCTACTAGTTGGTCAATATATTGATCCTAAAGGTGGCAAAAGTTATTTGCAACTCTCTAGGAAGGTTTGTTAAGCTTGATGAGAATCCTTTTGAAGGGGTTAGAGGGCTTATTTGAGAATTCTATTACTTAAATTTTCTTGAGTTTCATTTTTATTCTCAAACTTGGTCAGTTATTGGTTCTTGCTTTGTTTTTAATTGCGCTAGTCACGACAATATGCAGTATTTCGTTTTGATTGTTTTTGGACACATATTAGTGAATGGTTCGCACAGTAATTATATCCACTCAGTCATGGTAGACAACTTGCCTATCATTGCTTATTTAGAAGGTATAATTTTTAGTCCGAGTAATCCTATATTGATTTGAGGATATTATCATTGTAGATTTGTAGATAACTTGCCTATCTGCAGTAATTCTATACGTAGTACGTATTTAATTTAAGGACATATGACTAAATAGATGGTGCTTGTCTGGATGCTGTTTTGTGCGTTTTTATTACATCGATACAAGTCTTTTTCATTAAAAAAGTTAGGGTATAAAACAGAGTTTATGGAGAAGTTTAACCAAGGATTATACAAGAATTATTACCAGGGATTTCCCAAAAATTTCCCAAAATTGACACAATATGTTAAATCCATATAAAAAACAGTTTTACACGAATTATTTGACACAAAATTATCAATAAATCCATGTCAAATCTGTGTCAATCTGTTAAAATGTCACACATCGGAAAAGATTTGGACGATCAAAGTGCTATATTAACACATGGACTACTCCTCCTAACAGGTTGACCTTTTAGGATGGAACCCCGAATCTTAACATAGTACCAGAGCCAAATCGATTCATGGTGTGGGGCTCCTTATGAATATAAAAATGACAATTACGGCCGGATGAAAAAATGGACTGATGAAAAAAAAAATGAATTATGGCATGATCTAGACGAAATGTCTGGTCGGGAGGAGAGGTGTTAAAATGTCCCACACCGGAAAGGTTTGGATTGAACAAAGTGCTATATTATCACATGAGCTACTCTTCCTAAGAGGTTGACCTTTTTGGATGTAACCCGGAATCTTAACACAATCCCGTAATTCTAAATGAAGTAAGTGTATTTCTAAATGAACAGAAAGAAAGGATAATGAACAGAAAGAAAGGATTATTACATTCTTTCTAGCTAGGTTGTCTTGGATATCATTTTTCCCCGAATGGCAATGTACACATTTCAACTCTCATATACTATCACTTCATCAACTCTATAAGGTAAGTCAACGGTCAACCATCCGGAAATTAATTAACCCCTAATCTCAGACTTAGCTCAGTATCTAACCGCCATGCAAACCCTCCGCCGTCCATCCGCCACACATCGCACAGAACCACCAACCCGCCGCGCCTGTCGTAGCTCTCCTCTTTCCCGCCGCGCCTGTCGTAGCTCTCCTCTTTCCCGCCGCACGTGACCACCCTCACCCTGCACGTGAGTGCCGCCTCCTTTGTCGCCGGCAGCAGTACCCCGTCGCCCAGCACCACCCACGCCGCCGCTCCGCCCTTCCGCCCGACCATATCCCTGTACGCCGAGTTAGTCCACGTCACTCTGTTGAGGTCGTCCGATGTGAGCCCCGGACACGTGTCGCGTTCCAGATTCATCAGTTTCTCTCGGTCACTTCGCCCTAGACTGTAACCGTCTAGCTTCCACGTGCCGGTCACGCCTTCCACAATCACCCACGACCCCAAACCTCGCAGCACCGCCGGCACGTGGCACTCTCTCAGCCAGACCGGGCCGTTAGACCCGGTCGATCCGGTTCGCTCCACCATCTCCGATGACGCCGGAGATTCTTTCCGGTCCGGTTTCTCCGGCAGAAGTGGAAGAGTAACCACCGTGGCGTCCCTCTCAAGGCTGGAGACCGAAGAACTGCAGGATTCCGTCTTACCGTAGCTGTACTGGTTTTCTATCTCCGGCGCCGGAGATGCCGCCTTCTTTTTCTTACCGCTATTTTTGCTTATCTTACCGGTTGACTCAGTTGACCTGACATATCTCCTCTTGTTCCGGCGAGTACCCTTCACAGTTTCTTGAACCGCCGGTGCGTAGGGAACAGACCCAGGGGCCGGCGGTTTCGGCGCGATCGGCCGGAATCTCAACATTATGTTATTCACCTTGAATATATCACAACCCGCCGCCGGCGTATGCCGGGAAATACAACAACCTCCCCTCCGATCCATAACTAATCAGTCTTAGAAAAAAATGAATGTCGGAGATTGCACCGGAAATGGTGATGGGTGTCCGGAGAGCGGTGGAGTGGTTTATAAAGGGGGGAAAGTGAGATCAAGGGAGAGATATGATTGGTGGGTGTGTGGGGCCCAGGTATCGGTGAGGGACAATGAGGAGGCGGGAAGTGTCACACATGGCAGAGGAGAAGGACACGTAGGGGGTGAGTCAGAGGGTGAGGAAGGGTCGAGAGAAGGGGGCACGTGGTCCAATAATATGTTCTGCGCCACCTAAATGGTTTGACGGTAGCTGTCGTGCCATTGCACCACGTAGACGGCTGATTAGGACGCCAAATCTTTGCTCTGGATTCGGTGCTTTGACGTATCAAGATATTCTACTTTTTGTTTAATTCGCCCCTATCTGTTTCCTGATTTACTCAATTATGCTTGGGTACACAGAGTGTACACAAATTGTACATAGTATATATACTTTCTTTTTTTTACCATCCCACTTTTATCTTTACCCATTTCCCCCTCTCTCTCCCTCTTGGTCACTCCCTCCTTCGTTCCTTTCTCTGCCAACGCTCATCTTGTTCCCTTCTTCCTCCTTTCTTTTTTTTTTTCATTTTCAATCATTCTCCCATATAACATTTAAATCATTCTCAATCCTTCTCCTAATGTAGTTCTCATATATAATCCGTTTCTCTATATGATTGATCGTTCTTTTCAAATCATGAGGTAATATCCATATCCTTTTTTTTCTTTTGTGCTTTGTTTTTTTAAATATTTGTTCCGATTTTATGTATATTGGGCATGTTATAACCTTGAATAGTTGATTAATTTCTTTTATTGCAAGAGATTTGAAGTGTTAATTGTTGAAATTTTAGGATAAATATTCTACTTCATTTACACTCATAATGTGTTTGTTGAAATGACTCAATGAACTTTTTTTTAAAGTTGAAATGACTCACTGTTATTCCTGCAGTGACACAAGAATCCGGATTTATTGGCTCTGCAGTTACCTGCATCATATGTTGGTTTTATATGGTAAATGAGTCTCCACTTATTTGAATGGTTTTTTTCAATCCACTTCTTATGGAAAAAGAAGATAATTTATTATCAAAAGGTGCCTGCTTGGTTTAATATTGCTTCCTCATTATGCATCATAATCATGAAAATGTTTCAGATCATATTTCTAGTTATTGCTTTACCTCTCCTATCATCCCCAGTTCACCTATTGTTAGTACCCAATTTTGATAAGATTTTGATGATGCCACTATACTAAAAGTCATTATGCCCTGTGTTCTTACTAAATTAATAATTGATCAGGTTCTCAAACTGTGACTAATTAAAATGTACAATTTTTGTACTAAATAAATTTTTACTGGAAAATTAAAATGCAATAAGGTAAATTTTTTACCTTAAAAGGATATTCAGTTCCCACCAGTATAAATTTATTTAGTACATAAAATTATCAAGTCACATAATCAGCTGATCAAGAAATGACAAAATAAATTCTGTACCAAATAAATTTTACTGGAAACCAATAATTACAATAAGGTAAAATTTGTTTACCTTAGAAGGAGACTTTGATCCTACCAGTACAAATCCATTTGGTACATAATATAATAGAACACGGCACAAACACACACACATACATTGCATGTGTATGATTGAAGACAAAGACAAGAAGAGCATTAAATGGTCAACAGTACGAAAACCAAAGAAGATGGGTCGCACACACCAAATCGAGAAGATTGATCCTTGACTTGATCTTCTAGCTACTAATCAGTGAAGACAAAGGAAATTTCCATTATCAGCTCCATCACAAGAGAACAAAAGTACACCTCATTCTGCGAATAGGATTGAATCCTCTCAACCAACGGAGGAGATCAACCTACTGGAGAAGCCTATAAAAGAAGGCATAGGCATGAGTTCTAAAACTAAGTTTTTGAGTCTTCTAAGTAGAGTAGTCACTCTAAGCATACAAGAGATATCTAGCAAAAGAGAAAGTGCACATTTAACTTTACTCTCTGCTTAGACTCATACTTCACTAAACTTCCAAGTCACAAACATCCATCAAAATTCTAGAAGTTTAGTATCTAGTTGGAGGTTAGAACTTTCTTGTATTAAACTATTGTAAACACTTAGGAGAACAGTTGTTCACTTCCTAAAGTGTAGATAGATAGATAGAGTACCTATTGATCCCCACTGGATCAATTGAGAAAATCCAAAGGATTGAGTAGCTTTGAGAAGTGTAATACTCACTGTGAAACACCTTTCAATCTATGCCTAAGAGTTGTAAAGGCTAGATTGGCACTAAGTGTATTGGGCTGAATACTTTAGTGGAAATCCATTTGAAAGAGAATGGGACTGGATGTAGGAGGATTACACCACCTCTGAACCAGGATACACTGTGTGTCAATTTACTCATAAGCTAACAAAGCACACACCAACCACTTCTCACAAAAGGATTGAAGTCTGCCAGCAGCATCCTAAGCAGTAGTCTTAACTGACCCTACTGCTTATCCTACTGCTTAATTACTCACTCTCCTTGAGATAAATTCTCAACAAGACTCTTTTATATTTTAGCAGTGGCCTGAGCAGAACACTGCAGGAGCATTAAGAGTGCACGGCAGGAATCTCAGCAGTACATTCACACTCACCCAACTGCTAAGCATACTGCCTCAACAAACGCACTCAAACTCAATTGATTCCCCAAGCTATCTTCTCTCTAAGCAATATTACCTTCCAACCTCTTCACAACTGAAAAATCTTCTAGGCAGTTGCCTTGGCAGTAGCCTTGACAGTATCCTACCATCCAGACAACTGCTGACCTCACTGCCTACCCGTTTTCATCTCTCTTCAACTTCACTGATAAGAAACCTGCTCACATCACCCTCCAAATATCATCCTATATCTCAGCAAGAATCTAAGAAGTTGCATTTGCAGTTTCCTACTCTTCTACACAGCAGTATTGTCAGCAGTACACTACCAGCCAGTCATCTGCCAAGACAACTGCTAACGCAAAAAGTCTAAAACTATATCCAAATAAGAAAGTTGTGTCATTCTAAATTCCTAGAGGTTAAGACTTCCGCTGTGCATCTATTAATCTCTCAAAAGATTATAGATCAAACTATTAACAAGTGAAAAACTCTTAAAATTGAGAAAAGCTTTAAAGAGTCTATTCACCCCCCCCTCTAGACTCTTTTAGGGACCATCAAGTGGTATCAGAGCAGTGTGTTCATAGAGTCAGTCTCTGACTATTTTTGAACCAAAGATCCAAAGCCAACTGCTTCCCTAAACTTTCTAAAAATGGATAACCAACTTTCCAAAAATCTCATGTTCAACCTGGACAAGTTTGATGATTGGAAAATCAGGATGAAAGCACATCTCAGTGCTTTGCATGATGAAATGCTGGAAGTGATCACTGATGGGCCTATCAAAATTATGAAAGTCATCACATCCAGAGCCACAGAAGGAACTGAAGATGTATACATTCCTAAACCAAAAATGGAATGGACAACTGAAGACAGGAAGAGGAACAATCTTGATAATGTTGCAAGAGATATTCTCTTCAAAGCAGTAGATGAGTCCATATTTCCTAGAATAAGGAAATGTGACACTGCAAAAGATGTCTGGGATGAACTAACCAAAATAGGTGCAGGAGATGAACAAGAGAAGGACAACAAGCTGACCATTGCTCACAAGAAGTTTGAAGACTTCAAAATGCTGCCAAATGAATCTATTCATGAGATGGAGTCTAGATTCTTGAAAATCATAGCAGAGGTCTCGGATCTGGGAAAAATTCTCTCCCAAAAGGAAACCTCTCTCAAAATCTTGAGAGGTCTGCCATCAAAGTGGGATATGAAGGTCACTGCTATGAGAGATAGCAGAGATCTAAGAACCTTGTCAACTGATAAACTGTTCAGTGATCTCAAAGCCTATGAATTCGAGATGAAAGAGATCAGAGAAGAGAAGGAAAATGAAATAAAGACACTAGCCTTAGTGTCTGAACCCAACACATCAAAATCTTCTGAGAAATCACTCAATAATCTTCTCACTGATGAGCAATTTGCAATGTTTGTGAGAAAATTCAAAAGATTTATGAAGAAGGAAGGGTCTGCCCCTAAGAAGTCATTCAATAACGCATCTAGAAAGCAAGGGAGATTTCAAACAGGTGAGAATACTATTCTATGTTACAACTGTAGACAGCCAGGACACTACAAGAATGAGTGTCCTCTCCCACTGGCACACAAGTATCAAGGACAGCAGACTACTGCCCAAAAGAATGGACACAAGGACTACAAAGGCAAACGTCAAGCCTTTGTCAGTGAAAAGAAGAAGGAAGATCCTCAAAGTGATGAAGAAAGCAGCTCTAGTGATGAAAGCACTTCATCTGAAAGTTCAGAAGAAGCACTACTCTGCCTTGGGACTTGGCAGGATACTGAAGAGAAAAGCAGTTATGTCAAAAAGGAGCCAAGTTTAGAAGACTGCTCATTCAAATGCTTCATGGCAGATGACCACTTCAATGATGTAGAGGTAACTTCCTGCTCTTCCTATAGCTCTAATGATTCTGGACCAGTCAACATTTCATTGGAATCCTTACTACAAGATTTTCAAAAGGTCCAGAATCACCATGTTCTCCTAAGATCAGAAAACGATAGACTAAAACAAGACATTAAGGTTGTTCATGCTAAACTACTAGATGCCTTAAACAAAAATAGTGTCTTAGAGAAAGAGAACAAGGAGCTGAAAAATGAGTTGAATAACTTTAGCATGGAAAGAAAGAATTGTGATCCTATTGCTAAAGTTATTCCAAATAGGAAGAGAAGAGGTCTTGGCTATGTGTCCCCCATCAGACTTACTCAATACTTACCCTCCAAAAACCATCAACAGAACACAAGAAAGCTAATCTACCAAAAGACTCATTTCCATACCATTCCCACAAAAAGGAATCTGCCTGCTCCCAAATCAAAATCCAAATGTCCATATACACAAAAGCTTACCAACCATCAAAACCCAAGAACTTGTTGGCAACCAATCAATAAGACCAA